CGGGCACTTGTGTTCTTTGTGCTCTCTGTGGCAGTAATGGTCTCGGCCTGCCCAGGTCTTAGGAGCTGTTGTGACTGCAGGTAAGGGAGGGGGTGAATCCACTCAAAGCCAGACAGTAAGAGAGTAGACAGTGGAGCGGTAAGGGTTGGGGGGGTGTTGAGTAATGCAGGTGGTTGTGTATGTGTAGGTGGCTGAGCCTGAATTCAGATGTGAGAGTAACACAAAACCAGGTGCATACAAGTGAGAGTGGAGAGTAGAGATTAAAAGAAAGTGTGGTTGTTGCTTCTCCACCTGGCCATAAAGCAGCACCCCCCTCCCTCTACTGAGGCCTTTGTTTCACGGCTAATGGTCCAGGTTAATTGCACAGGTGACTCTCTGTGGGGGAACAGATGGGCTCAAATGTGTTCAAAAACAATCTGCAGCAAGCTAAAAAAAAAACAGGACCGACTTCTTCCACTCCTCTTCATTCTTAATTTTCTTTCTCATCTTCTCTGCTAGAGTCAGGGAGGGTGACTTGGGTGAGGTTAAACTCTCACTGTGTTCCTCTCTCTCAGTGATTTCAATTTATCAAGCACCAGGCCTGTAAGCTCTCATTAGATCTCATTACAGTGCAAATTAGACTCATTTTGGGATTGGCTACTGGAAGGATAGTGGATAGTAGTGGATAATAGACATCTCTCCTATGCCCAATGTTCCTCATGTCAAACACTTTAATTTGGTTAGGAAGGAGAGTGCTATGCTTATATATATTCAGAGGATATGTAGCTGACTTATTAAAATATGTGACTATGATGAATGTCATTATTTTGTATGCTTACGCTGTTATTTATCTTTTCAATTAACATGCCACAGTTGCTACTAGTTTCACTCGTGGTATATAGGATGTCATAATTTGCCATTATATTAGAAACCCACATGTACCAGACAGCCGCTTTTTGGAATTATTTGTCTCTCTTTTCCCCCATGAATCATGAAGGCTGCATGTGAGCCATCAGAAATTGAGTTCTCAATCGATCCACTGTGTTTTTTCTCCCCCGCACAACATGCAGGAGATGACAGATAGCAAATTGAATTTATGAACAGGCTTTGTTGGCACTGCTGCATAATTATAGGAATGCCATGCCTTTGGTGTTTAAAAAGAGAGCCCAGCAATTCATTCAGATACATACAGGGTTTTCTGCTTAGATGACTGAGTGAAAAGCTTTGTCATGTTTTTGAGGCAACAGCTGTGCTTTTACTTCTCAGTTATATACATATTTTGAATGTTGTAGATGATTGATTTCAAATGGCAGAAATAAACAAATGGGATGCCATGTTTTGCATAATGTAAGCTTATTAGTTTGATTCCTAATTGGTCATTGACTGAGGATTAATAGTTTGCATGGATGCTTTGATGATGTATTGGTTTTTATGCAACACTTGCTAGATTCCTGTGCCTCCTTTAACTGATCTTGCCATGAGCGGCCATGAGTATAGGTCATCCTGCTGACATTAGTTGGAGTACGCTCTCTATCTGCCTCCTTATAACTATCTATCCATCCCTCACTTAGTCTGTCAAACTTAAACTCACTTGTCAACTGAGAAATCTGCCCCCTAAATTTAGATTAGTTAAGTGGAGCCAATACTCTCGCAAATATACACAACATGCATCTCTATCACTAAGATGTGTACACTGGTTTTTCAGTGTACATGAGGGCATGCGTGCCCGTGCTTGCATACTGCAGTGTATGTTTTAGAAATAATTAAATGTCACAAGGCTCAGGCCGTCAAGTAGCCGGGAAGGTGTTTTACGACCTTGTGTCTTGCCTCGCTCCACTGGTCCCTCTCAATAACCCACTCCACCACATGCACTACCGCATCCACAGAAACCCTCTTCACTTTTTCTCTCTAGCTGCCCTCTATCTCTGTCTTTTTCTCCTCTTTCTCCCTGTATTCTGCCTCCTCCCTCAATCTCTCCTCTACAGCTTTCTCCCCCAATGGCACGCACAGTATATGTGCTTCTTCTTCTCCTATACCACCCTTTCCTACATTGCAACTGTTGACACTCAAGTTTGTGCTCTGCTCCATGTATTAGTGAATTGTACATTACAGCGATTTCCCACATTTCCACTTTTACTATAGGTACTATTTTTTTTCTTATTTCACATTTCTTAGGGAAAAACTAATCTTTTATGCCAGTCATGCTGAGAGCACATTATTCTTGTTATCCCTCCTAATTAGAAAAAATTGAAAATGTGATAGTGATGCTTGTAAATATATTGCAGACTAAGCCAATCCCCAAAACTCACTGTTACATTTGGCATGGCCTCTGGGTCCAGGTACTACCTGATATTCAGGTAGAGGAGGGGAAGGTTAGGCAGGGATCAAAATGGAAAGATATGGAAAAGGTACACCATCTCTCTCTGGGAGGCAGAGTTTCTCAGAGTTTTATTTCTGCTCTTAAAGGTTTAACTGTTTAAGAAAGTACCAAAAAGTGCAAAAGCCACAACCATGTTCCACACTTCCACAAGCTTTAATAAGATCATTAAAGGACCCCGGGGCTGTCTGTTGAGGTGCCCACCAAGGTGTTTCATCACTGGAAGGGTTTGTCAATGTCTTGGGTCTTAGCCCATCTTAACCCATTTAGAAAGCAATTTCCTGTGAGCAGAGGGGATCTTTCCTCTTGAGAAAGATCTTTGGGCATAAAAGGTTAGCTTTTCTGTAATTCCCCAGCATGCAATCTACCACTGCTGCTAATGAGAAGCGGATGAATATTTGCCCTAGGTTTAACAGCTCAAAATAAGACAAGAGTGAATTGCAAGAATGAGGCAGAAATGTCTGCTGAAGTGGGCAATGTTATAATAAGTAATGAAGAAAGTTTGCTCTGAGGATTACTGGAATAAGTGTAGTCAAATAATACCAGGCTTACCTTGTCTTTGCGGAATATATGCACATAAATACTTATATATGTTAATAGGTTCACAGTCTGAAGTCTCCATTGTGACAATTTCTTGCTTAGAATAAGACCTGCTCAAGTTTAAGCTGTGGCCCAATAGGACATAGTTAATTGAGCACTGTGGGTTGACTGGGGACTATGTTTCCCATTTTAGTCATTTTGGTTCTTTTGTGTCTACAGTCCTCCCCCTGAACCCTAGTCTACTACGGCTCCCAAGTCCTGGCCATTACAAATGATGAATTGTGCTACAGTTAAGCTAGAAGTAGGACAAATTGATCAAAGTGTCAGGTGCCCCCTGTGATGTCTAGGGCTCCATGAAGAAGGCAGTGAAGAAGGAGCTGTCAAAAAGTTTCTTGTGCCAAGGTGGTTGTAGATGAATGTTTACCTGCCACTTAACACTTTCTGCCTTCTGTCAGACTCACAATGTGTCCTTGCTAGCCTACATACGAAGAAGGAGTCGCTAAAGATCTTGGGAGTTGATACAGTTATAGTAGCTGCAAGTTGTTCACCATATTGTTCTTTAGGTCCACAGCAGACAGAACCCATGCTCCCCCTTTTAAACCAATGAGCTTGCTATCTGAGGTGTAGTGCTGCAATTTGAGATAAGCACTACTTGGCCCGGCTTTGGTTTTGTTCTGATAAAGCTGGTCTAATTAAGCTTGATTTAATCGGGATTGCTTTTAAGCACAGCACACAGCCAGAACAGATACTTTGATTTCAAAGTAGCCCTTGGGAAGGACTTGAGGAAGAAAGAGGAGGAATGAGATAGAGAGCAAAATTAGTGTGAGTACGAGTGAAGAGTTGCTTTTTTAAAATTTGCATAAGACATGTTTCTATTCTTGGTTGTTCTGTCTTCCTTTACTTGTGTGAATGATTGCAGGTTGGGTGGTTTGTTGCTGGAGGAGAAGGGAAAAACACGCGCAGCCCTGACTTTCTCTGGTAATGGCAAAATATGTGCCATTTCTTTAAATTAATCGTGTAGCATTTGGTGTCAACGTGTTCTGTTCATGAATTCAATTTGCCTGACTGTCGTGTCTCTTTGAGCACACGCGAGTAACAAAAGATTGATCACCCCAGTGTCTGCAAAAATGCTGTGTGCTGAAAGTAGCAGTTGTCTCCACTTATTTTTTGAATGTTTCCCTTCAGCTATAGCTGTAAGCACAGTAGAAAAACAAGATACCTGGACCCTGATGGTAAACACTGGGGAAGAGCTAGTTCACTCATGTACGCAAAGAATTGATGGCCAAGTCTCCAGCTCTACAATAAGTCACCCTAATGATCCTAGTTTAAAATAATGTCTGTTCTGGTCCAGAATGATAAAAAGGGTGCCCCTCTGACTCATTAGTATTGGGGCGTAAAGATAGATGACCCAGATATAGAACCTAAGCTTATTTTTGAACCCTGTTTCCATTGAGAGGTAGGCTGCATGTGCACAGCGTGGGCACAACTTGTCACGCTGTTGGCCTCATAGCACTTTAAGTGTCTCCTACCTGTCTCTTCAGCCATGCCGACTGCCTCCAGTTCTCTAGTTTCATGGATCCACACGACAGCTGGAACGGTGGGCAGGGGGAATGTTTTTCGAAGGCCGGTCCCGGTGTCATTGACTGAACAATGATAGAGCGCCCGGGTATTGAGCGGCTCCACACTAAATCTTTGTAAAGAGCACTTAGCTCCCCTGCGTTAGCCACAGAAAGAATATCTGTCAATGACCATCAGTGGATGCTTTCATCCTGAGGCTCCTCTGCCTGTATTAGTTGCTAAGCTCTAAGTGTATTTTTCCTCCTCCCCAGCTCTTTACTGAAAAACAAGGACAGGCTTGAGTGACAGGCCTCCGTCTCAGCACACATATAAAAGACTTGTTTATACCTCACTCAGTATCAAAGGTTATTTTTCATGCGCCTGTAGTTAGAGGGAATCCATTGCTTCCACACCAGAATTAGACCTTGAAGAAATCATGTAAAAGTATGTGCGTGTTTTCATATGCATGTCATGTACTTCACCTTGTTGTATTATTTTACGTGTTGTCATGTAAACATCTTTGCTTCTATTGTGTGTTCTCTTACAGAGGGAGATGAAACTGGTGTGATGGATAGCTTAATGGAAGCTCTTCAATCTGGAGCAGCCTTCCGCGATCGGCGAAAACGGACACCACGCAACGGTAACGTAGCAAAAAACACTGTCTCCATGTTCCAGTTTATAATTTGTTTTATTTCTGCTAGTCTCACCTACCCACTTTAGTTGTTAATAGTTGAGATATTACGAAACTGGCTCCTGTTTATCTTATAAAAGAAGCTTTGCTTAGTGTGTATTCCTGTGCTTGTGTCCTTTTTACTTGACTTGTTTAAAGGATTCCTGATTGATACACATATGAAACATGAACACGCATCGTACCAAATGCAGACACATGTCTTAGAAAACAAGCACACGTGTGGCTTAGTGCAGGTCATTAGCAATTTATTGTCCCTTAGCCATTCATAAAGCACTTATTATAATGTAGCCACACTGGCTGCAGTTAGACCGAGGCTGATTTAGTGTAATCCTGGTGTTAACACGTTCCATTCTGCCATGATGAATGGTCCGTGCCCAGGGGAGTAGCACCTAGTAGGGGTGCCAGGGTCAATTGATATGCAAGACAGAGTTCTGCAGAAGAGCCACAGGTGCTGCCATCTCCACACTGGCAATCATGGTGAAAAAAGAGGGGGAAAAAAATCAGACCAGCGGCTGGATTGGATGATTCTGCTATAGACTGGCTACACACTGCAAAACCAACAGTAAAAATAAGCAGACATTTTTAAGCCATATTATTGTTATTAGTAGCACAATTATCATTGGTAGAAGATATTTGATGTTGGCATACAAGAAATGGTACATTTAAATTGCTACAGAGAATATTTCTAGTAACAAAGAAAGTCTTGTCATGAGTGGCTTGGTGACATGGCCAGGACATACACACACTCGTTATTTTTTTGCTCACAATAAGTAGGTTTAATTATTTTATTTTGCAGGATTCATATATTGCCACAATTTATATACACTAGTATGCACTGTGACATTGTATGTGCGATCCCGTGTCTCTGATCTTTCAACTGGGTCAACCACCATTAATCTTTTGTATCAAAATGTGTTTATGTATATATAATAATTTCAAAATAAAAATGGTTACATTTTGAAAAAAACACCCACTGCTATGATTTGGGACAATATAGTCGAAGTTATTTTACAAGATTATATTTTAATGATTTTAGTTAATCAAAGACATTTGTTAAAAATATTTATGATATCAGTTAAATTACATTTTCACTTCAAATTGTTTAGTCTGAAAATCCATACAATTGTATGAAAGCAAACACACATGGACATGCACTTTACTCTTGTTTCAACATATATAATGCTATTCATCAATAAGACACAACCCGCTCCACTCTTCACCTGAACTTTGATCATTTCATATTCTGTTTGGGCTTATAGTTGTTTTAGAAAACCTGAAGGGTTTTTTGCCTAACTCTGGGAGTGGTTCATTCTTGCCAAATATCTGAGATGTGTCACCTCTGATGGCTTTTCCTCTCTTCCTTTTTCTCCACCCTTCCCTTCTTTTTTTCTTTTCTTTTTTTTCCTTTCTTTATTGTTTTATCACCAACATTGTTACAGGTGATCAAAGTCCTTCCAGTCCATCCTCTTGGTGGCCGGGTGCTAACTATGGTAACAGAACCCTAGGTGTGTGTATTTAACTACCTTATTCACCCAGACCCAGCACCACCCTGCCTCCTACTGCACTTGTCCTGGCTGCATAACTCACATCCTTCTTGTCAGAGCACTCAAACTGAGCTGGTCTACAACATGCAGAGTCCTGCGCTGAGTTATTGCATTTGACTTAGCAAAGAATGAAATGTTCAAAGGTATAATATGTAAGATTTATTGTAAGTTTTAAAAAAAAAAAAAAAAAAAGCTACCATGAAATCTTAAGATTGATGAGGATTTTAAATTAAAAAAGACTAAACTCAGCTCCTCACTGAGAAAAGCAACTGCAGTTACAAAATGAATTAACAGTCATTTTGAGAAATGTGTAGTTGGACTTGTTGTAATGATCCATAGTGAATCATGATTTCTACAGTTTCAAAATGCAAAAGAACTGACTAAGTGCTGTGCATTATCAAGGCTTTGACAAAGACCTGGGGCCTCATTTATAAAAATGTTTTTAGATTTATACTTAAACTTACTCTGAGCATATAAAACTTTGCTTACACAAGTTCTTAGAAGCCCATTTGTAACTTACTCACCTGTGATAAATAAATCTCAACTTAAAAGTGATGGCACCTGCCTTAGCGATTCCCCTCTATATAATGGTTGCACAAATTAGGGTTTAGTCTGGAGTAGCCATGGACCAAAACACACCAAAAGATGGAGAATTACCAGTGATATTAGTTGGTATTTAATTTGGCGTATATCTGGCCCATCAAGCAGCGTTTATTTAGTGAAAAATCTTAATTTTTAAACTGTTAGTCTCTCATTCCTGTGGTCTTCTACTAAGCACAGCTAAGGAATGGAGGCTTGCGAGTTGAGGAAACAAAATGTAACATTTGTACAGAAATCTTATCTTTATCTTCATGAATAATATTGATGCAGTATTTCGACACATGATGCACTTTATCTTGTGTTTCACATGTTTTTATAGACACATAAGAGATTGCTAACATGTCATATGTCTTAAAAAGGAGCTTGGAGTAATATCTTAGCCGTAGAGCGCAGGGAGCTTTTTAAACTGCTACGTATATTTTTTAACGTTTTTGTCACCACTACAGAAACATTAAAGTATGATAAAGTTGTCTGACCTGGACTGATGTTAGTTACTGGTTTGAGTAATGGTTTAATAATGTGTGTATTGATTACTGACTGTGGCTGATCAAGTGTAGACTTGACGTAAGTCTTGATTTCCACATCAAAATAGGGTTTTATAAATAACTAGTCCATTTAATAAATGAGGCCGCAGGTTCAAATCACCATAATTACAGCTTGTAAGTGACAGTGTTCTCTACCATATGTATGTATATTTACAGCACAAAAACAACATGCCTTGTTAAGTCCTTGTCATTGCAAAGATGTAACGTAAAGTAACATCATTATACATTTCTCTGGAAACACATTCTAAAGCACCTGTGCTTAAAAAGCAGCTGTGGTTAATGGCCATAAGGACAATATATGTACTGCATTGTTGAGAATAAGTGTCTGGAGTCAGTCACTAATATAATCCTAATAGCAGTCACACTCCTTAAAGGAAATAATTTATAATTCACTCAGCATAATTTCTGTCATGTAGAACAGCTCCAGTTATCATATGATTGTCTCGCTGTTCCTATTAGCCTAGGCTGTCACAGCATGGCATCACTTCCTGTCTTGTGGCGATGTTTAGGAAGTGTTCTGCAGGAGAGGTCTGTAGACTTGCTTTGGCCGCTCACAATGGTTTTGTGTATTACCTTACTTTTTCCCTATATTTATATGTCAAACTGATGTGTAACAGCTACCCAGATATGCTTCTATATAATGGATTCTTGCCTTTTATGCTATGTGAAGGCATACCTTGAGGCAACTTTGGCTAAAAATGAATTGCGTGTGCCTGTGCAACAGTGCCTCACTATAACATGTTTAATCTGTTTTTTGCATGTTTAAGTACCTGACATTATGCTGGTCTTTATGGAGGAGAGTGTATGTTAAGAGTATGTATAGTACACTATACATACTTAACATACACTCTTACACTGTAATGCTAAAACAAATAACTGATTTTACTTTTTTCCCCCCAAAAAAGTAATGTCCACTACAAAAGTATTGGTCAGTTATTTTGCTGTACTCTGAACTAAATCTAAACAAATACTTAGTCCAGTTAAATAAGAAACTTTGCTTGTGAATTTTATTTCCCTATTTAATTAACAGGAAGTTTTTAAAGTACTTTTAAGTAAGCCAAGGATATGGCCTTGGCAAGCTGACACCTGGCTATGAAAAGTGTCTTTAAAGACTAATATTAATTCTATGGTGGAAGCTGTTGCTAGTATATGAGGTGTGGAAGTACCAATTAAATATAGCTAGGCTCACCTCCATGCACAACATTAGCTCTAGAACCAAAGTCCTGGACAGGTGCTGAACAGCTTTTCCACAGCTGCCCAGAGTGGACATACAGAGTGCCAATCACTAGGTGGGTGTGAGGATACTCATGAACCCCCATATTAGCACTGCTATGTTCAATATTTCATTGAATATGAGGAGCGAGAATAGCTCTGACTGTGTGTGCCTGTGGCAAGCAGCGGTTTCAGGCCTTCCCATAGTCTAGGTAGGTTCTGGAAAGAGCACCAACTAAAAACACCACAGTTCTACACCTGATAACATGCTTGATATTTAAACAAATATTCTGTATCTGACCTATTACTGTGGTCCTTATGATGGGTCTCTGTCCTGCTTGGCATTGTATATCAGACCCTTCTCAGAGCATTTCTTTCTTTTTTCTAGTGCATACCCGTTATGCTACCAGAATGTATTATGCACTGACGACTCCCTGTGCATTGATATGGAATCCAGACTGTGGTTTGATAAACAGCTGCATGGATTCTCTACTCTGAGGTGATGAGAGGGGAAAATCCTTTTGACATGCTGGCTCCATGGATTTTTTCTAAATGGAATCTGGAAATGAGTTCAGCTGCTATAGAGCATAGGGGGAATTTGTCTCATCTCATGAAAGGGGGAAAACAGAAACCTTTATGCACAGTTTAAGGGAAACCATTTTAAGTACTCTCTGTAAGGAGAAACAATTAAGTTCCCCAGTATCAGACAATTTGGTGACAAAAAGCATCTCAGTCACAGAAAGCTTTCTTTGGGTTGCTACTTCATGGTGCATAGTGGGAACTGTCAACATTTTAGTCATTATTTAAAGAATGATGGTGTAATTTCCGGGTCAGTATTGCAGCATTAATGTTTATGTACTTTTGTTGTGTACATATTTTCTTTCTCTCTGATTCTGGGACTGACAGGATTTCAATCTCTGAATTTACTGGTTGAGAAGGTTCTCTGAGCAGTTGTATCAGACAGTGTGCCAAATCTATTCACTCCTGCTTGTCATGTCTGTTGTAATCTCATGCTTTAAAGCTTGATTAACCTCCTGTCATCCTCAAACGAGCAGCGTGTACCAGAGAGAGTCTGTGAGTCGCACAAGAAGCTTCGCTTACGTCAAAGGAGTTCATTTAAACCCAGCATGTAGTTTTTTTTGTCGTCCTTCAGGCTAAACTATACTCCAGCAGACTACCTCAAGTGTCAGGCTGAACACAATTCTAGGCGCCGCCAGTCACAATTACATCCAATTCCAGAAGCATTTCCTATTTCCTTGTCTCCACTTTGTGTAAGATGGAAAACCTAACCCAGGAGGCCATACTCATGTGTTATGCAATTACACCAGCCAGTCCTAATTCAACGCACAGAAACTGGATGGATTGATGGAGACCAGAAAAGCCACATTTAAGTTGTGGGTGTTCAGTCTCATTTCAGGAAGATAGTATGTTGTGGTGTTGAATCTGGTTGGTTTAACGCTGTATATTACTTTTTTTCTTTGTTCGTTTTTGCAGACAATGTACTTTAAAATGATGTTTTTTTGAATAAGGATAAGAAAGGTGTAAGTTAGCCCTACTCCTTTTCTATATATCCTATTCCCTTTCTGGTGAGACAGTTACCTGGGTATCTGGCAGGAGATTGGTGGGTAGAGAGCTAGAGCCTCTCATACATCCTGGCTCATCGATTTTCGGTCAGGGATGAAAGCCATAGACTCAGTAGGTCTTTCATACTGGGGGGCATCCCAAAAGACACATCAATCAGATTTCAAAGAGAACCAAGCCAATCTTATTTATTTACTGCCTTTTCAACGTCATTACAATCCCAAACCAAGGCCTCTCTCCTCTCCTCTCTCTGCTCCACTCTCCTGCTTCACCTTCACAGGTCAGTCCATCAAAAGTTCCACCCTGTGTTCTATATAGTAAGCCTCTTAAAGACTTATTTGACATTGAACAGGGAGGGATCATCTCATGCACATTAAAAAATAGAGATGCAGTGATATAATGCTTGTCAGGGTTACGGAATTTCAGCCCAACTATCTAATCCCCTGAAGCCTAGCAGTTAATTCAGCTGGTCAGGCCAGAGAGTGGGGCCCCTGTATGTTTAATGAAGATTAAATTACCTATTTTGTCTCATGAAATTTTAAAGGAAGAAAGGGGATGAATCTACAAAGAGCCAAATGAAAAGACCAAAGGGAAGTGTCTTTAAGAAGCAGATGCTGGCAAAGATAAAGAATTTCCCCTTGTTCTCTCATCCCCCAAACTAATTTGTGACATAAACGATCTTTTAATACTTATTACTTCTGCGTTTGTTATCCACATCACCCTGATGTAGACAACCACAACAAGTTCAGCCAGACATCTATTTCCTCATCTTTCCCCTGATCTGGGGAAAATCACCCGTTTATTTCTTAAATTACATCACAGGAAGTGATAGTGATCGTAATTCCCATAGCAATTAATTTGCTCACACATATGTTGTACCCATCACTTCATCTCTCAACCTCTCCAGCATTTGTTCTCCTGTACACACACTCACACGTACAAGCTTGTGTCACACATCAGATAGGGACTGTTGCTATAGGGTGTCTCTGAGTTGAGGGCTAAAGCCCTTTGCCTCCACAAGCT